GTGTGATAGGCAGAGCGATAACGCAGAACCCACATCCAACTGAGCGAGACTCGGAAATTTAATCCTTCTCCCTGTATTAAGATAATGATCTCGGCATTCAATTCAATTTCATTCCGAACGATCTGTGCCGCAAACCGCGAGCACGAAACCAGACTTTGCCCCGTGGCATTGACATTCAATCCCAGTTAGTTCACCACACTGACACCCGAATGGCATTGGGAAACAATATTGACAAGACGATGCGGAGACTGGGAGCAACGAGGGGTGATTGAAACACGAAAATAGGTTTGAGATTGAGATTCGAGATTGGAACAAGGATGGAGGGGTTCGCGGGGGGGGGGGGGGGCAATGATGATGATAGCAGTGGAAATCGGACCGCGACCAGGAGTGTGACGTGGAGTGGTGAGACTGAGACAGAATAGGGGACGACATGTCAACAGAGAAAGGGAGCAGAACACAAAGTTGGGATCATTTCAGAACGATCCATATGACCTTGAATAATGGCAAGAAAAGTAGTCAGAGGATATGTACGGTGGTGCGGGCTTATTATACGATGGGAAGAATGGAACAGTTTTTTCGTCCTCCATTGGGATGTCAGAGGGACCAGGTCTCACATTGTCCTCATGTGTGGTCGCTATTTGGATATCATCGCGGGAACCAAGGATGGACGCAGAAAGGGGCGTAGACGGTTCCGATGAGTCTTCCGAGTCTGACGTGTCGTCTACATCGAAATATGGGAGGCCATCACAGACGGAGGAGTAGCATGAGGGAGTCGCGTCGTTAGCGTTCGATTCTGAAGAATGGTGATGGTGAGGAGGGGAACGAGAATCATACGAGAGAGGGGTACGTGGGGAGGGAATATAGATGTGAGCAGGAGGGTGGTATTGTGGGGGAAGAAGGGCTTTTGGATATGGACATGCGCCGGAGGGGGTGGCGAGGTTTGCTCGCAGTCATCAGTAGTGGTGGTACTGTCGTCGTCGAGGTCGGAGAGGACAGCGTCTAGCCAGTCTGCCTCGTCAACTTCTGCTTCGGCGGTTCGCTCGTCCCAGGACGAAATGTCGGGGAAGACGAAGCCAAAGCCGTACTCATCATCATCATCATCGTCTGTGTCTCCCTCTAGCGGGCGCGCATTGTGGGGTGGTCGGAGCCCCTTGGCGCACTGTTGTGGAGGAGTACGAGAGGTGGAGGGTGATGAGACGCACGAGTTTGCACTGACGAGGGAGTTTTGGATTAATACGAGACGACGCAGGTTATAGGTGTCGCGACGCTCGTCACAAGAGCCGAAGCGTAGCTTGCGACGAGACATTTGAGAGATACGAGCGGGGTCGATAGGTTCCATGGTTAGCTGAGGCGGCGAAGCAGAGTTCTTGGACAGTGTAAGGGGGGGCGACATAGCTGCGGGAGATTGGGTGAGAGCTTTGGGGGATATACTTGGGAATGGCGAACGTACGGGCAAAGAATTCCTGTGCTGTCAACCGTGTATAGGATATGTAAGGAGAAGTTCGTATAAGCGCAGACGGTGTGTAGTTATGCGCTGTTTCTTAAGCATTGTCACTTGACAAAACAGCGGGACAGGTGTAGCGGCGCAGAGGTATTTCCTAGTTTCCCATTATTGGGGAGAAAGGGGGAGGTGAGTGGATCGGAGTGAGGCGTTTAGCCTTATTATAGGTTTGGATTTAGACTATGACTCGAATCTATGTCGATTTCATCCGGACTCAGCGCTTGCTCTTGCGACACCGCAATTATTCACACTGTCGCCATTTCTCAGGGCTAGCACTGCTGGCGACATCGTCCGCAACAAATGCCAGCAATGGCACGGCTACACTCTCACGGACATCTCGTACTCATTGCAACGGCGAGGACGGCTAGTTGTAATTAGGAAGCCGTGGTCAGGCCGTGACCAGCAAAATGAATATACAGACAAAAACTGGAAGTAGCAACGGCCCCCATCAACGCTAATGGCCATGAGGGTCAGGTTCCCCCTTTTGCTCTAAGTCACGATACCATATAGGGTCAGATAAGCTGAGAATTCAAAGTGCTATGCACTCACCAGGGGCACATTGGATAGCATCGTCAATGCGCAGCAACGATACTGCCGCTTCAAATGCAGATTTAAGACTCTTCACCTTGCTCATTGTCGGCTCCAACACCCCAGCCTTTACATTATCTCGCACTTCCCCATTCAATAGGTCTAGACCGTAGTGAAGTAGGACCTTTTTCGGATCACCAGCCGGAGCATTTTGTGCGGAATTGTGGTACGCCCTTAGCTTCGCCACCAAGTCTGTAGAGTCCTTTGCCGCATTTACGGCTAAAATTTTAGGAATGATTAGCAGGGCATTAGCAAATTCTGCGATAGCCAGCTGTTCCCGCGAACCCTGCACAAACGAAAAGCACATGCAGTTGCACTAAGATAAGCGAACCGTCTACAAGGAAAAAAAAACGCACCAAGGTAGTCGCAAAATTCTCCAAATATATGCTCAACGCAGATTCCACAGCCCCCCCGCCAGGGACAACTGCTCCACTCTCCAATGTCCGTTTGATGATGGACAAAGAATCGTGCAGCGCCCGCTCCATCTCATCCAACATATAATCGTTCGCCCCCGAAGAACGATTGAAGATGACGAGATCACCTTCGTGCCCTTGATAAGGATTAATTCATCGTCCGAGATGCGGACTTGGACAACCTCTTCCGCCGACCCCAGGCTCGATGCCTCGAAGGTCTCGTCGCCCTCGAGGTTGGCCAAGCTTGACACGAGAGTCGCACCAGTGGCTTTCGCGATTCGGCGAAGGTCTTCCTTCTTACAGCGCCTAACCGCCATGGCTCCAGCCTCAACAAACTCTTTCAGGCATAGATCATCGATACCCTTCGTCGTCAAAATCACATTTGCCCCAGTAGCAAGGATCTTTCGGATCCGCTCCAGCGTGATCTCTGATTCTCTATGACAAGAAGAAAGATCACTGAGAGCCATATGGCAGTCACATATTAATATGTACCTCTTTCGAATCTCCTCTAGCTGATTTGGATCATCAACGAGGATGTTGACTCCCAGATTCATCCGCTGTTTCTGGAAATTTATATCTAGACATGCAATCTTGGCATTTGGAATCCTTGTTTTCATTGCTATAATAACGTAAAAACAGTAAGACGCGCGTCCCCAGCGAACTGAGTAATACAGAAACACTTATACCTTGACTGGCAACAGTGCAATTAAGGGCATATCCGCTGACGTACATTGACTCACGAGCACTTTTCCCGTGCGCTTTGAGAACGTTAACGGCTTTTACTGGATACTTGATGTCACCGCGAGGGTTGATGGTCTTGACAGCCAACATTGCATCCACAGCCATAGGGGCAAATAAATCGTCATCACTGCGGTAGAAAACATTAGAACGCAAGAGAAAAAAACGTGTCGAAGCACCACACAAACCTCCCAATGATTTTGCTCGACATGGACGTTTTCGCAACGTTGATGAGAGCATCACGTCCAAGACTATCGACTTTGACGCTGAGTTGATCGACCATGAACTTACAGGCCTCCCTACATGCCAAACGATAGCCCGTGATGATCGTCGTAGGATGAATTTTAGATTTGACCAATTCGTTCGCGCGTTTCAAGAGTTCAGCAGCGATGATGACAACAGATGTGGTCCCATCTCCAACCTCTTTGTCTTGTTTTTGGGCCAGATCGACGAATATCCTCCCGGCTGGGTGTTCGACCTCGAGCAGCCCGAGAATCGTTGCACCGTCGTTGGAAATGGTGACCTCCTGCAAAATAGAGCATTGAGCACTCCCATAAAGGATATGAAATAGAAGAAAGCATACGCCAATATTATCTACGAGCATCTTGTCCAAACCTAGAGGTCCCAGAGAGCTCTTCACGATATTCGCGATAGACTGCGCTGCGAGGACTGAACAATACCTTAAGTTTCCTCTTCAAACTACACCGAAGAATGCAACTGACCATTCTGATCACGTATATCCTGCCCAGACACCCTCTCCCCCCCCAAGAAGACCCCAGCGCGTGGATCGCGTTGGAATATTGACATGTTCCGTATTTTTCAGGTTTTCGGGATTGGCCGTGCTCAACCACATGTGACTGGTATATCATCTCCTTCATCTCCTACACTCATCTTTCGTAGAACCGATACCGCGTTTATCTTCAATGATTAACAATTGTTTGGGATTATTGGTGCCTTATCGCTATCCTCACGGTGAGTAAATGCCACCCTGTTTGCCCCCAAGGGGCATTCTATTTTTATTTTTACGCTTTGCCGCTTTCCCTAAGAGGCCTCGTTTGGATGTGCAGGGAATGTATGTTATCGCGATACTCTAAAATATTGACCTTCCTGCTATTCCTATCAGCTTCCACCTAACATCGTTCAGATAAGTTTCTGACTCGAGTTATCATCGTCGCTTGTTTTAACACCAAACCAGCATTCCGGGAGACACCCTCACGGACATCAAAAGATAACGACCTTTCAGGGACCATATCATCAAATATGTATCTCGCTCTTCATATGGAGGCTTATCGTGACTCGAGTGGGGGCGGTCGAACAAAAGCGATATGACTAAAAAGGGCAGGGCTCGCCGGAGGAGGTATAAAATTCAGCAATCCCAGGATACACCAGTACCATCTCTGGGAGTCTGGGATCGGGAGTGAATATCGACCGTTACGTCTGCAATCTCAAGGGGGGACTGAGGTATTATCCATCATTTACCCGGGGCCAGCTACCCGGCTCAACACGCGTTTCGCTCAATCTTCCACACTCCGAGATCCTAACCCACGGGCTGGTATGCCTTCCCTCCTTCTGGAGGGGTCGTCCATGAATTCCATTGTAATAAATGATAGATAGAACACCCTGAAAATCCCCAAAAGTGGATCGACATGCCCACAGATTTCAGGACCACTGCACCTGTGACATCCTGTGTGTGAACCAGAAGTCAACACTAGGCAGGTCGATTTGCTGTTGAGCGTAGCTGTGCCTAGTACCAAAAGTATCGACAGTTGTAGGACTCGAACCTACGCCCTCATAGAGGAATTGATTTCGAATCAATCGCAGTAACCACTTTGCTAAACTGTCTAACCAATGATACAGAGTAGTGAAGCACTGTTATTGTAAATACAAGTGTATCATATTAGTCAGCATAGTTGGCGACGATGCTGTTATCGCGGCTGTGGGATATACTGTACAGCACGTTGAGGAACATCCTACACCTTTCTTCACAATACCTTCTACAGCCGAATCCGAATCCCCTTAGACAAAGAGCAGCAGGCTCGGGTTTGAAGCTTTGCCTCACCTGTAGTCCCCTGGACAATAAACTACTACTTTCAGTGGAACGCTCACGCGGGGTCGCAGCGGGGATTCTCACCTATGCACATGAACGAGTATGTAGCAACAGATTTTTCTAATGCTTTCTATTGTATAAATCCCAATTGGGTATGTTAAAAAATGCACGAGCCATTTACTGTAGTAGGCATTCGGGTCTTATGCTATGCCTTACTATAGGTTGGTGCGTTGGTGAAAGGGACCCAAGCTGCCTCACTTCTCGTCTTCGATTACAGTCGGTTGTTTTGCATTGCCCCGGTCCGAACCCCGCTAAGTCAAGTGGTTCAATTAAGTGCCATGCGATACTCTGATGTGGTGCATGCAGGACAATCGGGGAGACTCATTTTGGCTTATTCCAGGTATCATTTCTCCCCATATGAACCACACTCGTGCACTCGAGAAGTCAATTTTTGAATTTCCGAGTTGATGGAGTAGACGGTTATCGGCTACGGCGTGTGAGTGTCACGTGCCCAGACTGCGGCCTCTACCCCTCCCCGCTCTTCTGGCCCGCTCTAGGGCCACCCCCTTTTATGATGTATGTAGGTACTACATGTAAATCCCCTACTGGTTTGTACCTCCGCACTTTGTTCTCTGCACGAGGTTCTTTATTTCACAACGAGTATCTTCTTCAGATCTGCTCAAAACATCTCAAGTAGCTATGAGATATCAGTAATTTATTTATGTTTATTTTATGGGACTAAATATCGTATCTACAAACTTATGTACCGCCGGCGTTGAGTTGCGGCGCCGAATTCCCGGTTTTGTTTCCGAGTGTTGCTCCAAGTCTTCAACTCAGCGCTAATGGATAGTCAAATTCTCCACTATAGGATGGGGCGGATCATCTGAAAACTCGAAATATATGCTAGCTTAGTACCATAAGGTGTCAGCGCTAGCATGCCGCCTTATATGATATGTGAGTAATAGGTGCTTCTGGCCTTGAAACTTGATTATCGCTGTGAGTTGGAATGGACAACGCCAGTGCCAACCTCGATCGCAAAAATATTGACGCCTCGGGATCGCCATGGGTGCCCTGCTCGGGCGAGCGGTGCATCAGCTTTCGTGCGCTTCGCCGATCCGTCTTGCTCATATTAATGACTTTGGTCTACATCCGCATCATTGACACCTGCGATGGCCTCCCTTACTATCAAACGTGGCGATATCTCGCGCGGACCAGCCATCCAGGAGCTTTCTCGCATCTGAACGCCCACTGCTCCCATCTATCTCCAATACCGGCTCCAGAATATCTCGCCCATCCAACCCATCTAGCCAAAACGCTGTATGTTGTAAACACTTCTGCATACATTTCGGGACCTGGCTTTAATGCGTTCTACTTCGCCAGCATATCTACATCTGCATGGCATCCTTCTGAGGGCCCTCTCTTTGTACTCACCCCACGTGTCAAATCTGGAGAGAATTTGGCCGCCAAATCGGTTGTAACGATCCTCACCCCCCGATTCGAAGCCTGTCGAGCGAGCTTACTCCGCCTCCCAGCCTCATCGCCCTCAGATATCGCATTCACCGAACGGGCAGAACACGAAAATCCATACGCGGTCCTCAAACGGTTCCTAACTCCGAGCCACCCCAATGTCATCGTGGACGAATACATGTGCTACTTTGCCACTCAAGGCCTCTCAAGGCCCATATTCAATATCCTCAGCGCCTCCACCCACACCCAACCAATTCTCCCCCTGCACGAACAAAAATCCTCCGCAGAGTTCGCCCTCCGTGCCGTACGCCAGCGGATGCCCATCGGTGTGCGCGAGTCCGATGCCATAAATCAACAATATCCGCCTTCACTGCAGCAGGCCTGACAGACGTCTCTGCAGTCGTGCTTTTTGGAGGTCAGGCGTTTCCCCCCTAGATCTACCCCGATAATAACGATTTTTACTTCCTCCCGGATTAACTCTTCTGCTGCATGGATTGTACAGAAAACGCTGCCCTTCCGCATGGATCAGGGACGGATCGCATACTGGGTGTCCACAAGAAGGCATTATTCGATATAGGGGGGAAATCACATGGATATACTTCGGATCTCATTGGGGTCAGTTTTTTGTTTCCCCTTCGGTAGTGCTGACCTTGTGCTCAAACACAACTATGATCTAAACGAATTAAACTGCATAGACAATAGCCCTCACCGGCTCGCAAATTCCGCCCTCCCATCTCGCGCTCTGGTACACAGTGCAGCGCGCGCAGATGGCCGCAGATGTTTCCGCACGCGACCGTGTCTTGACTCAAAGCATGGATGCGGTCCCACGTGTTGCGATCGCGGATAGTGGGAATGAGGAGTTCTTCAGGTATCGCCTTGGACATGGTCCGTCCCCTTTTGTTACTTTTTAAAATTGTTCATCGTTTTGATGAGGTCATTGGGGATGTGTGTGACATGCCTGCTTTGCTTCGCTTCGGGAATGCGTAGGAATCGGCTTCGATGGACACGACGCCCCATATCTACGTGAAGGGATCCACGACAATGCTGTGATCGGCACGAACAATAGTGAGTCTGGCTTTGTTTTTCCTTGCCCAGTTTTGTGCAGATCCTCCGTTGCCCGCCCCCCTCTCCCTGTTCATGTGTTGTCCCGTTGGTCTGGATGTGGTGGGCTTACTATACTTTCTTCCTCACAACTAGTACTCTCGAACGAATCAGGTATTCATCGTGAAGGGGAAATAGGTTTCTGGTTTGAGGCGCTGTCGCTTGACCACAGTGACAATGCCTTTACTTTTGTTCCTGGTGGTCCGGTTGACAGCAGTGACAGTGACCGTGATGGTTATGATGGCAATGACGACAATGCCCCTTTTTTTGTTCCTGGTGGGGATGGCGATAATGACGACGACGACGACGATGATGATGATTACGATGACGATGGCGATGACGATAGCGACGACGACGATGATGACGATGACGATGACGCAAGGACAAGGACAAGGATAAGGATAAGGACAAGGACAAGGACGAGGACGAGGACAAGGATGAGGTCAGGAATGACAACGACAACAAGGACCACAAGGACAACGAGGACGACGATAACACACACGGAAAGACCCGCAGGGGCTCATCGTCCTACACGACTACGAATCGCGACAAGCAGGGAAAGGTCTACAAGGGCTGGTAGTCCACAACTACGATTGCCGACATACGAAGTATATACAAGGTCTGGTCGTCCTATGCGAGTACGATTGGAGACAGACAGGGAAAGACTGGCAAGGGCTGGTAATCCACGACTACGATTGGCGACAAGCAATGAAAACTTCTCTGATCCTGATCGTCCTATACCAAGACGATTGGAGACAAGGGCGGAAAGACTTGAAAGGGCTGGTCCTCCACAAGAAGTATTGGCGATGAGCATCGAAAACATCACTAGGGCTGGTCCTCCACGACTACTACACGCGACGAGCAGCGACAGTTCTGCAGGGGCTGATCGTTTTTCACGACTACTATCGGCACCGGAGAGCGATTGACCTTGTTCGGGAGCCTGTATTCACATATGTTTTTCATTCAGGTGATCACTCGTATCCTCCCATTCTGTACATAACCATGCATCCAAGTTGCTTTTCTGGCAACCACCCTGCCTTCAAACTACTAGTTCATCCTTTATTGAGAAGTTCCAGCAGAGACACGACATACTTAATCAGGGATTTCAATGGGTCCCAGCCTATTCATGATGCCAACATTTGATTGATTGATTATTCGGGCCATGTTCCAGTGGTGGGTAGGATGTGGGCCACGGATTGGGGAAGAGAGTTGACTCAGTTGAGGTCTACGCGGAAAAATAAAGCAGGGTTGGTCACTGTGCAGACGGCTGATTCTAGCTGTCTACAGTACTTTAGCAAAGCGGTTACCAAGACGTCGGATGTAGGATCGACAGAGGCTACGAGACCGCAATGCAACAAACATGAGAAAACAAACAGATGAAATATTTATTACTCTAGCGAAAATGGCAGAATGCAGTACACATATACTGAAAACTGGACGGGGGGTAAATAGATGACAGCTCCAGATCATTCATGACTAGAACAAAGACTAGCCTACTGACATTGAAGAGCAATCGGCTGGAGGAGAAGTATTATAGAGAGGAACCAATCAGAGAGTTCAAACCACATAGTTAATTACGTAAAATCCATATCCTTTGCGAGCAGCATGCCGCGAAGTCTTGATCCATGAAAAATGGCATAACAGCGAGTAAGAAACTCGCACTCCAGGAAAGGTCGAGCGCCGGAGCCCCGGTGATTGTGGCCAAAGAGTGGGGTAGTGGGGGGGGTAGCTGGCCTTACAGTACCTGAGCGCATGCAATGACTAAAGTCGACGTAGATCCCGTAGATGATGAGAGAGGATATCGATGTTTGTACAGGCAAGCGTCAATTCCTGAGCCCCAAACTACGGTGGGGCTCTGAGCGTTCACAATTGTGTATCGTGGATTAAGGATCGTTTGGGGGTATATGATAGGTATTGGGGAATAATAAGGTCGAAGATGCAATACAAGTCGGAGAGAATTAAGGACGAATTAACATCATAAGAAGACATTCTAGGGTCCGAGGATGGCGTAACCTGCGCGCTCGCTCCTGCCCCATACGCGGAGGGATTCCCCGTCATGAAAGTAAGACGATTGTAAAGGCAAGCAACAAATAACCTGTACTAGCACCAACGACCCTCTTGACTGACACGCTACCATTGGTACGCGTCGAGGTCGGTGATGCTCCCGTGCTGCTACCAGTCGAGGAGGAAGTCGAGAGAAGAAGATGTGGTGCCATTGATACTCTTG